AGTTTTGCAACCGACTGGACTGTCGCTCAAGTCCTCCAGCCAGTTGACGAGATTGAAAATGGCTTGTCCATTAGAGCTGCCTCCTGCATCCCGCCTACTACTCTTGCAGACTGGCTCTATGGACGCACCACCACAAAAAGCAAAGGCCTCCCTGTGATGTTCAGCGACGAAAAGGAGGGCGTTATCGTGGACTGGATTAAGGAGCGCGTACGTTTGGGCTGGGCACTAACCATCAGGATGGTGAGCTCCAAAGTAGGCGAACTTGCCAACGCGAAAGGCCTCCCGTTCAAAAATGGTGTGCCTTCCCGTGGGTGGTGGAGTTGCTTCCGTCGCAAACATCCTGGCCTAACTCTAAGATCAACCGAAACTGTGGAGCAGAGACGTGCAGCAACGATTGTGCCCTGGACCATTGAGCCTTTCTTCCTTCGCTACCGTGCAGTGCTACAGCAAAGTGAATTCCCTGTGAGCCGGATCCTGAACTTTGATGAAACGGGGCTGAATTTCGGGCGAGAAAGAGCAAGGTTGTTGGGTACTTGCTCAGAGAGGCTGCACACAAGTCACCAGTATCGGATGCAACGAAAGAAAAAGAATTACCGTTGTCGCAGCAATCCCGGCAGACGGCGGTCGTTTGCAAAAAAATTATATCTTCAAGGGGAAACGTCGGCAGATTGCGTGGATGAAGATTGTGAGCCTGAAGCTTCCTTTGCAATGCGGATGAAGGCTGAAGTATTTGTCGAGTTCCTGGCACACATAGAGAATTCAATCGCTGGGGGTGTTTTTCTCCTTCATCCTCTTCTGCTCATCTGTGATGGACACAAATCACACATTACTGAGGATGAATTGAGTTACGCAGCAGACAGGGGCATGGTTGATACAAGCTGATGTGTCAGGAAAATATGTTGGAGCCTAAAACGTGTGGTCTGCAAGCTGTGGGACTGGAAGGGGTAACCGGAAGTATTAGTGGGTATATTACTCATCTATAAAAGGTACTAAACTAAAGCTATTCAGAGAGTGTGACGAGGTAGTTTCTAGAAGTGATTTTCTGGCACTGACTGCTTTCTAATCGCTCAAGGATCTTGGCAACACAGTGTAGCTGTGTGATAAATCCGGGGCCAAGGCCAGTGGGCTTCCCAAACCGTTATTGGGGAGTTAAACTATCCAGGTACAGGCGGAGCTTGGAGAGAGTTGAGCTAATTGATCTCCTCAAACTGGAGCTAACTTGTAACTGAAAATAGTTGTAACACCTTGTCTCTTGATCATAGCTGCTCGAACTCAATAACAAGTCCCTGAGTTAAAAATATTCAACTGGCCTTGTTTCTTTCTCTTAACCTCATGGCGCGGTAAAGGCTCCAAGCATTTAGCTAAAATAGCCTCCTCCTCATTGCCACCACCTTTTCACTTTATACCTGATCAGTCTCAAATAGAAGAAGATCAATCCCGAGTGCTTCCTTCTTTATACTGAACAGTCTTGTAAAATGGTGCTTTCAAAAGTCTCATCTTAGTTCTCAGCACGAACGGCCTTGGGAGGTAACTCCTTTTCAGGAAATCCATCTCCCTTCCTCGACCCGATCAGCTCTGAGTTCTCTACTGTTCCTAACTCCTTACAAAGAAAACTAATTTTTTTAAAAAAGTAAAAATCAGGATTCTAGTTGTTTCCTCAAGACTGATACTTTACTTTCAGCATCACCTGTCTATTAAACAAACTAAACAGACAGAATTTCAGGGGTCCTATACTCAACCGGAGTTTCTCAAATTCACAAAGTGTTCAGGGAACCTTTGCCTCAACTTGAAGCTCTGGAATTTCTTAGAGTTGTTTCATGAGTTCCAAACTCAGCCGGAGCTCTGTTATTACTTCAGAGTGCCAGGCTAGTCCTGCTATGAGCCTCCACCAGAGTTTCTCTGGTTTCACTCTCAGACTCAACCAGCACTCTAAAATTATCTCAAACAGTCCAGGGAGTGGTCCACTCTAGGTCGCTTCAAGTGGTCCCAAGAGTCCCTAAGAGTCTGAGCTCAATCCCAGCATGTCCCGAGAGTTATAACTCAACGGATCATTGAGAGCATAATCTCAGACTGTCACGCAACTCAACCAGACCCCAACGTGTCCAAAGAGTCCCGCCACGTCAGCGTTCCACCAAAGCACTGTCCCGCCACGTCAGCGTGTCCTGCTCGCCGCTTTTATCTTAAATATTATTTTTCTTAGTTTACTAATATTATCTTGCATATTCTCAAGAATTTATAGGTATGAACTAAGGTTTGAATTAGGTTTCTATTTAATGTCTTTTTACTTACAATTTCGTTTTAAAATAAATGTAAGAATAACAAACCTCTCAATGCATTAGCAGTGATAGTCATGAATTGATTTAATTATATAAGTTTAATATCATTTTTATAAAACTTAGTAAATTAATTCATAAGAAAAAGTATTACAATTGATTTATTAGTTAGAAAAATCAACATATATATATAACTAATTTTAATTACTGGATTGTGCTTTAGTTTTCTAAATGTATAACTATATTTACTAAACTATTACAAACAATTATAGGTTTTATTCTGAATGGTTTAAAATTTTATTTAAAAGTCAGAATGTTGTACTAGGCCCTCTTTCAAACCATTTAGTCAGCCACTGACAATGTACCTTCTACTATACTTTTACACAGCAAGCCTATCTCTTTCAACCTACGCTTAAAGCACTTAGCTACGCTTCCAAAATTGACCTTAGCTAGCTGGCTGGAAGTGTCCACTTCCATGCAAATCTCTCTCACCCCACCTCCTCGGAAGAAATTCATTTAAACCACTAGGATAGTTGCAGTAGTAGATTGTTTAGCAGTTAGCTAAGTAGCTATAAGCAGTTCTTGCAAGCGGCAAGAAAAATTGGTGTTTATAACCTGTCGAGGAGCTATGTCTTCAACTACGCCAGAGACGTATTAACCAGCGTATCAGCGTACGATTCTACGGACGTGCTTTAGCACGTGAGACAGCAATCCCCCGCCGTCGTTTGTCGCCGTCAGAGGAGATGAGCAGACTGACGGAAAACTCGGTTTTGTTCCGTTTGGCTGATGTACATGCATGGTCACACCCATGCCAGGCTTTGACGCGTGGCATATGTCATGATGGGTGACGCCCATGGCCATGCTATATCTACCGTTGGATGGCAAAACTATGTGTGCAAAAATGGGTGGGAAAACTCTATTGCTGGCCGGGGAGTGTGGCATTCCAATCTCCTCTTTTGCTCGTCGCGCCCTGTTCTTAGGGTTTGGGGTTTAGGGCGAGGCGATCGTGCGCGCAGGCGCGAATGCGAGGGCGGCAGCGCGCGTGGGGAGCAATTCTTCGCGAAATCCTTCTGGCTTTCAGGTAATCATGAGGGATTCCATCGATTCTTGCTTCGTGCTGCCGCTGCATTTAGAAATCGAGCTTGCTTTTCTGCGATTCCTTGCGAATCCGGTTGCTTTCGTAAGCTAGAACCTTCTCCTTTTGTTTTTTGTTCTGTGGATTTGCTATATTTTTTTTTGCTTTGGTTGTTGCTCGCTCTAGCGCTATGACCAAGTACTCTCCTTTGTTGGATTCGAGCGATACTATGATTGATTAATATTTTGTTTTCTTGTCCACTCTAGTGCTTGGCATTTTTTGTATTCGATTTCTTCTTGGGCTGTCGGGGCATTGTCTTATACTTTACTCTTTCCTTCATCCCTGCGTTGCTTTTTTCTTCAACTTGCCGCCAAAGTCGTTTCACCAGTTAGCTTTTTTCCTCGCATCCAGAGCCCATCAAAGATTTCATATGTTATGTTTTCCAAGAGTGGGCTGCCTGTTCCCGGGAATGGTTTGTCTTTCCTCTCGCACGGATGCGGTGGATTTATGTGTGCAAGACGGGTTTCTGGGAGAGAAGGAAGTCAGTAACATTCCCAACATTGAAAGCTCTCCCTGTGATTTCTTTTCTCCTTTTTGCGTTCCTTGACATTCGCGAGAATGAGATTCCTTTCTCTCTTCCTTCCTTCCTGTTCACCCCAGCTTGAACTTCCTCTTCTTGATGAAAGCCAGCTCATTGGAACGACAACAATCATTGTTCTTCCGCTTTGTACCTCGCTTCTTGTTTCCAGAATTCATTAGCTTCGCCGCGCGCAGAGCCTACTCTCTGTGTGCATGTTTTGGGCATCAATATTGCTAGCTGGTTGGATACTTAGCCTGCCTGTGCGTTGTGCATCCTTACATGGTCGTAGATAATGTTTCTAGTACCCATTGATTTCAGGAGAGTCCCTCTTGTGTGTTGTGAGTGGTGAGTGGATGCGTGTGTTGTCTTGAAAGCAAGCCGTGTGTAGCTATAGTAAGTGATTGAACGGGAAATTGCCGGAAGAAAGCATTGCTGCCGTAGAGAGACAGCATTACCAGAGGACGCACACCACTGCCCAGTGGTGGAATCAGCATCCAAAGGCCCAAAAAGGCAGCATTTTGGAGGATAATAGATTCCTCATAGTGCATCATAAAAGCATTGAAAGGAGGAGCTTTGCTTGACCTGCCTGGGAAAAGAAAATGTCTTGCATTTCTCTATCCAGGCTGTGCTCACCGAATTCTATTTCACTTGCGGCCTCACCTGATTCTGACTGTGATTCTTTGGTAATGGAAGGTCCCAGCAGATCCAATGCTACTGCTATCCCCGCTCCTGCTTCATGCATGTGTTTGACAATGCCAAGTAGAGCGTCCGCTGGAACAGGAAGTAGTCATGGATCTGAGTCTCGGTCGTCTCATCTGGACAAGCATGTGCACTTGACAAATTGTATTCATCTGAGAAATCGGTTTCATGTGCAGAGGCACAAGATGACGGTGGAAGCAAGACACCACCTGAGTGCCGGTGGAGTAGCAGCAGCGGGCCTCCCTCTGATGAGGGAACTTACAGCTCTCAGCCGAACCCGTTCGCTCAGGGACCCTTCTACCAGCTCCATCCTTAAGTCGCCGCTGATGAAAGGCTCCAGTCCAGGGGCACGGAAGCTGGAGCAGGCCTTGCGAGGTAAAGATAAGAGTACAGTAGCTACTGACCAGCAGCAGGAGCACAGGAATGACTCACAGACAGGAAGTAGTAATTTTGAGGCTAACAGGGGTGGAGAGTCTTACAAGTCGGCAGCGGTGTCCGAAGATCAAGACCCCTTGACCAAAGTTACAAAGCGAAACAGGAAAGTTCACCAGGATAGGTCCTCACTTGGCAGCCATGGAAGTGGAAGCCTCTCTAGGAAGATTGTTACTCAACTCCAGCAGCAGCAGCAGACTTTAGCTACGAATGTACAGGGACAGAGCCCTTCTCCTCTGTCTCTGGGTGTCTACGACGATCCCAGCATTCTCCTCAAGTTCGCTGCTGGTCCTGCTGCTCCGAGAAGAAAAAGCAAGAATAACTCTTTTGAGAGTGATCCGGAAGCATCGGCCGAGGATGAGGTAGAGGAGAAGCAACAGGTCCAGAAAGTAAACGCAAGGTCCCGGTCACATTCTCCGTTGCTGTCGTCCAGAGATATTTCCAACAAAAGCAGGTCTCCAGTTGTCTCACGAGAAATTGCTAACACGAGAGCCTTCAGCTTCCCAGATCCCGGTCAACAGCACTACCACTATACAGGAACCAACGAAGATGAGTTGGAGTGCTCGCAAGAACCAAAGCACGGGTGTGGGATACCGTGGAACTGGTCCCGTCTGGGCCAGAAACCGAAGGGAAAAGGTTTCCTCGACAGCACGGGTAAAATGCTTCGTCCGGAAGTTTTAGCAAGGAGGAAGGCTGGAGAGCATACTCTCTCAAGAAGCCAGTCCGAGTCAGGCCGGGAACTCGCTACGGCTATGTTCCAGCAGGACTGTCTATCGTATTCTTCTGCCGGAAACTCGGACGCTGAGGCTCTTCCACTTTTGACAGAACCAGAGGCATCCGTAAGTGGTGACGTCGCTGCTTCGTCAGTAGAAGTTGACAGCGACAATGTCGTAGCGGCGAGAGGAGAATTAAACCCGAGGGGTATTTTAGCACCGAAAGGGAGGTCTCAAGTTACGACGGAAGCTCTCCAGGCAAGGTTGCGAGAACGGCTGGCCTGGATATCCGAGCGAAGGGTGGTAGAAGGTGGTGGCAGTGATTTTAGGCAGAACAAAAGCTTAAGCTACAAGTACCGGCCAAAGACGTTTCGAGACATGGTTGGCCAGAACGTGGTGATGCAGTCGCTCGCAAATGCGGTTCTTAGAGGACGCATCGTTTCGCTCTATCTGTTTCAAGGTCCGCGGGGCACAGGCAAGAGCTCCGCAGCTCGGGTTTTCGCTGCTGCTTTGAACTGCCTTTCCTCCGAGGAGCTCAGACCGTGTGGCCTGTGCCGGGAGTGCGTTGCGCTGAACCTTGGCAAGAGCTTGGACGTTCGAGAATTCGACGCCTCGAGATTCAACGGCCTAGGCAGCGTGAAGGAGCTCTTGGAAGTTGCGATTCTACCTCCCTCCTCTGGTCGATACAGGCTTTCGGTCGTGGACGAAGTTCACACTCTGACTGCCGAGTCGTGGAATTTCTTCCTGAAAGGCATGGAAGAGCTTCCGGGGAACTCGATCGTGATTTTGATAACGAGCAACCCAGAGCAGCTACCACGGACGCTGGGTTCAAGGTGCCAAAAGTATCCGTTTACCAAGCTCAAGGACCCGGACATTATCAGCAGGCTGCAGAAGCTGGCGACGAAAGAAAACATCGACATCGAGATAGAAGCTCTTGAACTCATTGCGTCGAGGTCGAATGGATCACTCAGGGACGCGGAAATGACCCTCGACCAGCTTGGCCTTTTGGGACAAGTAGTGACACTGTCTACATTGCAAGAACTTGTAAGTTAACGAGAGGTTAGTTGGCTGGTGGGCTGGAAAATTGATATAACGTTATACTTCTCCAGGTTGGGCTCCTTCCCGATGACAAGCTGATGGATTTGCTGGATTTTGCTCTTTCCGGAGATACCGTGAGCACCGTAAAAAGTGTGAGAAATCTGCTGGAATCTGGTGTCGAGCCTCTCGCTCTCATGTCGCAACTAGCTACTCTTATCACGGACATGCTTGCGGGGAGCTACAAACCGGTTTTAACTCAACGAAAGAGGCGTTTTTTTCACAAAATTACGTGTGAGTCCTTCGTTTTCTTCTTGAGTTGATACTGACGTGCGTCTTTTTTTTATCAACAGTGAGCAAAGAAGACTTGGAGAGGCTACGACAGGCTTTAAAAATACTTTCTGAAGCGGAGAAGCAAGTCCGGGCTTCAAGCGATCAAACTACCTGGCTAACAGCTGCTATTCTTCAGTTCGCACCAGACCGAGCATATATATTTCCAGCAAGTTCTAGCGGCTCGAGTGCGACTCAGAGTCTCGTTGGCAACGACACAAGCGAGAAAGAAACCATCGAATCAGATTCAGGAGCACTCAAGCAAGGGTGGGAACCGGAACACGAGCACTTTGAAAATCCGGTGGATGACACTGCGGTATTTGCAAAACCGGAGGTACCTTGGGCCAACAAGAGCTTGTCCACTGTGCCGGAAGCAAGGATACACCCATACGTTCAAACGGCGTCCACCAACGACGGTATTGATGCAAGTTGATGATATCTATTTTCTAGTAACACCTATTCGCTGTCCTGCAGGACACGACACTTGTGCTTTTGATCAAAAAAGACTGGACGACGTCTGGCAAAAAGCACTGAAGAACAGCCGGTCCAAATCCTTGAAGCATTTGCTTCGTCACGGAAAATTGATATCCTTATCGATGCAAGAAGGTACGCATCTGGCAATACAACATTTATCTTTCCTTGACAGCAGTGTCAATGCTGGATGGCAGTGCAAGCTACGGTTGAAATCGAGTTCCAGCATTCCAAACAGAAGGCCAAGGCTGAAAAGTCAAGATCACGTATAAGCCATGCGTTTCAGTCGTCACTGGGTTGTCCCGTGGAGGTTCAAATCAAACTGGCGTCAAAGCTACTCGAGCACGATAAGAAACGCGTTTCACTGCATCCACTTCGCGGTGACCATCTCCACCGAAAGCCCGGTTTCGGTGTCAAGCGAGACGGAGAAACGTCACCAAGTCAACACTCTCAGCAGCGTCCTCAGGGAATCGAAGAAGAGCGCCTGGAAACTGCCTGGGCTCGACAGAGCACACCATCGATAACTCCCTCGGATCCTTCATACTACTCGGCAGGGAAAGAATGGAGCTCGGCTCCACCCGGTAGAGCTCCACTGGGCTTGGTGATCCAGCGACAGGGACCGACGCTAGCCAATCTCTCGGAGCGAGAAAGCCACAGCCAGGCCTCGCAGTACGATCTCAAGTTCCAGAAAGTGAGGCACCTTGGTCCGGAAGTTTTAACTCCAAGAGAAGCAGGCTTCGAGCACGCCAACCTGTGAGTTCCATTGTTTTAATTTTTTGGTTTCTCGTAACGCTTCCCTTGTTCCAGGAGGCTGGAATCCCGCACAAAGTCCAACCGGCGGCTACTGTGCTGCTGGCGATCGTCGCCAAGGTCAGACGAGGAAAAGCGACGCAGGAAAGAAGAGAAGAAGGTAACCAAGACCAATTCTAGTTTTGCTTTGCATTTCTCTAGAAGTTCTTCGCATGTTTTTTGTCATTCTCTCATTCTTTTCTTTTCCCACTTTCCAGGCAGCGAAACAAAGACGACGAAGGCGGCGGCGCGCGTGTTTCTTCATGAGAATCGTCCCGTGCGCTGGGAGCCACGGCTGCAAGTCACTCTGCGCCTTCACACGCCAGCACGCCGCGTGAGCGCCACGTCACCGCACGTCCGCCACGTCACAGGGGAATCTGCCATGTCGGCCCGTCCGTACGGGAGGGGGAGCAGCCCGTACGATCCTCCGAGATACTATAGCTAGCAAAGTAGTTGTTTTTAATTCTTTCCTTGTGCCAAGCCAAACAAAACATGGTCGCATTCGTGCTGCGCCATCACATCGCACTCAAAGTCGAAATCCCTCTGCTGCTCGTGGATCAAGCTTCCTCCAGGCAAGTGGTGCTTGGGCCGTATGGCCAGAAATCAAATCTTGGTGGGCAGTACCAATACGGCAGGGGTACGGCCCGTACGCCCAGCCTTCCTCAAGTGGCGGAAGGTGAGCCATACCAAACCTAGGCCATTAGTGCATTTGACTGGCAGTGGTACTGGAAATATGCCGCCCTTTCGCTTGAAAATTCTTTTCCATAAGAAAGCATTAACAAAAGAAAAAGTTGGCGGCCGTCCGGACTCCGCCACCTTTTCTTTTGTACATGATTTGTTTGATATAGTTCTTCTTTCCTTGGTATTATTCCTCTTCCAAGGCTTTGCGGATTGAATCAAGATGCCTCCGCCGCGTCTCGTTTTAAAAAAAAAAAGGGAAAATAACGGGGAAAAGGATCTTCCCGGAAGCTTCGCCGTATAAACCCTAGCTAGTCCCTCCCCCGGAAAGTGGGAAATGGAAAGGGACCGACCGGGCTGGTGGTCTATTTTGACGGGTTCCACGTTGCCGGGTAAAAAGAAGGTTAAATAAAGGGAAAGTTGAGGCTAGTCCACGTGTACTAGGGCGGTGGTGGTGGTCCTCGTCGCAACGTCACCGCCAAATAAACGGGACGGTCACCTGACCGCCGTTGGATCCACCGAATCAACGGACGGATGCGCTGGGTAGCCGGAGCGGAGATGTTGCCGGTGGGTAATTTTCAGTGTCAATGTCCTCCCTTCTCTTTTTGAAAAGCATGAAATTTAAATTGTTTTTCCTATACCATGTAAGCTACATTTTACCGCGCACATGCCGTGTTGACCTTGGGGTAAATATCGGACGCCCTTGCCACGTCACTTGCCGACATGCCGAGCCAAGCAGTCGCGTGTCGCGTTAATAGCCGTTGGATCTGGATCGGGCGGTCACCCTACTCCACCGGTGGAATCTTCGCGCGGCGAAACGATCGAAAAAGTGTGTATTTCTTTGGTTCCACAGAAATAGGCTAAAATTTAACCAGTTTTGGTAGTAGGGTTGTGTCGCATTTTTCTTGCCGAAGAGTGGGGAGAGACCGCCATCGTTCTACAGGGTTGTTTTTTTCCTCTCTTTCTCTTGCGAGGGCTCCTCGCGCGGCGCCAGGAAGAACAGTGATTCTGGAATGCGGCGACCAGACGCCAGCGATTCCGGAGGAAGAGGAGGAGGTGTTTGTCGCGGCGCGCCTTGATTTCGAGCTAGTTTCTTTCCCTCCGATCCGCGCGCGCTGCCGATCGATCCAGCCGATTGGATCGATATTTCGTAGGTCTGGTGCTTCCAATCTCCTTGCCGCTCCTCCCTTGCTTCCAGGGAGAGATTGGGATCGATATTTCGGTGCTTCCAATCTTCTTGCCCCTGCCGGGAGAGGTTTGGATCGATATTTCGGAGGACTTGCCAAATCTTCCTCTTGGCCGAGGGAAGATCGAGGTAGATAGATAGATTGTCGCTGGAATTGCGAGACCATTTTTCCACGCGATGAGCTGCAACGGATGCCGGGTTCTTCGCAAGGGATGCAGCGATAGCTGCGCCTTGAGGCCGTGCTTGCAGTGGATCGAGGGCGCCGAGGCGCAGGGCCACGCGACGGTGTTCGTCGCCAAGTTCTTCGGACGAGCGGGGCTCATGGGCTTCATCGCCGCCGTCCCAGAGAATCAGAGACCAGGTAAGCCTCCTTCCCTCCCTCCCAAGTCTTTGGACCCCGCGATGGAATCATGACTTGCATTGTCTGGATTGGTTTTGGCAGCTCTCTTCCGGTCGCTCCTCTACGAGGCCTGTGGAAGAACAGTGAATCCCGTCTATGGCGCAGTGGGCCTTCTCTGGTCGGGCAACTGGCACGTCTGCCAAGCCGCCGTGGATACTGTTCTTCGCGGCGGATCGCTCAAGCCCGCTGGAAGCTCTCCATCGAATCTCCCCTGCTATGGCCCGATGCCAAATCTCCCCCGGCTCCACATCAAATCCGCCACGCCATCGCCATCCCCATCGCCATCACCACCGCAGCCCCCGGCCCCGGATCACCACAATGACGTGAAGCGTTTCAAAGCGCTCGACCACCACCACCACCACCAGAGCCAGGGTCTCGTCAAGGCCGGCGGCTGCGATGTGGGACACGTCACCCCGGGCGGGCGATCGGGGCCGTCGGATCGCCCATCGCTGGTAGCTGTGAAGAGGGAGAGAGAGGAAGCGGCCGAGCTTGTTGCCCCTGTGGCGAGGAGGCCACGCGTCTCCCGCCCGGGGCTCTGCCAACTGGAGCCCATCTCCGCCGTCGATGAGGAGCTCATCGACCTAGATCTGACGCTCAGCTCGCACCCGCCAACACCGCAGCTGTTTTTGCCACCCCGCAAGAACAACGCTACGAACATCAGCTTGACGACCGCCACCGCCACCGCCGCCGCCGCCACCACCACCACCGCCACCCCCGCCGTCGCCATTCCTCGCGTGGCCAGCCCGGTTTCGTGTAGCAACTCGTTTAGCTCCGAGGGGTCTGTGACCAGCTTGGACACGGCCGATTTCATCGCCTCCAATTGCCACACCGTGGCCGCCACCACCAGCGGCATCCCGGGGATGGATTTACTCCAGAGAATGGAGCGAAGGCAGCACCACCATCACCACCACCACCACCACCACTATGGTCACCATCAGCGCAGGGAGCTCCAGCAGCAGTAGAGCAGCCATGGAGCATGAGTGTGTGAAGAGGACTTCTCTTCTCCCAAATTTTTTGGATTTTTTTTTTTTCCTTCTTCTTTTTGGCAGTGATCCCCATCTGTCAGGTCCTTGAGCACTTAGCCTTCAGTCAGAGAACAGTCACACTTGCTTGTCATGCAAGAAAGGAAAAAGCTTTCGCCCAGAGGGACAGAGGGAAGAGTCCACCACCTTTTTTGGAGAGGAAAGCGGCATTGCCTCTATCTAGAAAGAACGAGAGAATTTTTTTTAGTAGTCCCAAGTGCCACGTCAACACCTTGTTGTCCACGTTATTTTTATTTTTATTTAATGTCACACTTATTCTAGCTCGCAAGATTTCTGGCCACAAGCTTGGAGGATTCGTGGAAGAACTTAATCCCTCCCCGATGTTTCTTCCCATTTTCATGGAGCTGGACGGAGAGATTCGAGGTGGCGGGGTTGAAGAGATGGTGGGTGGACGTGGCAACCGAACAATCTATAAGTCAAGATTTTGCGGGATTTTCTTTGACATATGGGAGGCGTGTAGCGACGTGGGGGCGAGGTTTGATCGGTCACGGGGGTGATGATGCTGCTGCTACAAGTTTTTAGAGGTCACACGTTTGCAAAGTATCTGCATTTGTCACCCTGATAAGATTGTAATAGATCAATCTGTTCTTCCTTTGTAATTTTTCTTCCTTCTTTTCTTTTCTCTCCAAGAATCCGGGGAGCTTTTCACCTGTGGTGATGGAGCATTTGGACAACTCGACCATGAAGTCGAGGTTGCCTGTGGAATCCGCCACACTAAAATTTACGTCCTTGCGTGGTTAGCTGAATCTTTGTGATTCCGACAATGAGGGATTACTGGTAGGAAAATGTGACGGCCGTGTTGTCAAAGCTTTTGGACTTGGCCTTTCATCCAACAAGCTCAACAAAGTGACAAGCAACTCCATCGCCAGATTTATCAGCATTTCATGATCAAGCGGATGCTTGCGTACCGTTCCTCGCAAGTGAAGAGCTTAATCTTTTCAATGGTTCGGTTTTCCTTGGTTGTTCAAGACAAGAATATAATCCGTGAAGGCATTAACGAGGGAAATTCTACTTACAGAGAACAAGAGTTGGAAAAAACACAAAGTAGTTTCCGTAGCGCGGCTTCGTTCTTTTGATTCATACTAAAGCTCTAATGTTTTCAGCTGCTGGTCCCAACGCTACAAGGCCAGAGAACCTCCTTTGGAAGTTCTTTCTTCGACGGTCAGAAACTTCGACTGCTTCAATGTGATCAATCTTGGCAAACCTCAAACACAACTCCAACTTTAAGATTTGAGCTTCTTATTTGCAGGAGGTTCGAGGTTCTTCTTGGCAGCTTCAATCCATCTCAAGGCACCACCCGAGAGCTTGAGATGGCACCAATGCTGCTCATGCTTCAAAATCCACTGGAAGAAAGGACGCAAATCCGAATCCTTCCAAATGCCGTCCTCTGGTGCATGAAGATCCTCGAGCACATTCTGGAAATATGCCTCCACAAACACACGCTCGTCGCAGCTGTTTGCCCTGTTTGCCAGATGATCCGGAGCAGCTCCAGCATGCCAAGCGCAGAAGTAACCATACTCCTTGATGGGACAAACCGGCGCTCCACAGCTTCCACACAGCGTGCTGCAAGTCGTCCTCAATTCGGATCCAGAGGAGCGCAGCATATTTCCAATTGATGCAGTCTGGACTCCCGTGGCGTGGTTGCCAAAGGCTTGATGCAACTTGGTGAAGAGCATTTTCTTGGCGAAGGCTTCGATATCGCCTTGCGACCCCTGTGGGAGCACAGCTCGAGCTTCCATCAACTCCGCCTCCATTGCATCCCTGTAGATGCCCCAGAGACCCTCTGCGCCACCTTCACTGTTCTTGCGCAAGAGCTCCGCAGCCGCTCGCACCAACAGCGAGCTCACACCAGGAAAGGAAGTAATGCAGCACGGCGCCTTGTCCACTGGGGAGCACGGTAGCAGGAAGTACTGGAACGATCTAAGCAGCTTTGCCTCTTCTGGAACTGCGCCAAAGATCTCCGTGCGTGAAGTCGTGACACGCATCAGCGCAAAGTCGCAGCCTTCGTCCCTGGATATGGTTTCCAGATTGTAGCGTGGCCTTTCGGCCATAGAGAAGTGCTGTGATCGCACAAAGTCACCGGTTAGGCACCGGGAAGACAACTTGGCCACACGAGCAGACGTAAGGAGGAAATGTGGGCTGAGCGCCACGCCACTGCCAAACTGAGCCATCACCCCACCATCCACACTGTGGAGCCGGTGCGTTGCGCGAATGGCCTCCTTGAGTATGGC